CTCCTGTACACTGTCCAGGTCTCACTAGCATACATCAGGGTAGTTAGCACTGCTGCCTGGTAAACCTTAAGCTTAGTAGCAAGGCTTATTCCGCAGTCTGCCAAATGCAGAACTTGCCTTGGCAATTCTACAGTTGACCTCGATGTCAATTGTCACTGCACGGGAGAGGGTACTACCAAGATACGTAAATGCATAGCTGGGATCTGAGGTGAAGGCAAAAAGAAAAAAAAAGCTCTTTCTCCTGTATTAACAAACAATCTTCTGACCTGGGTCAGAGGAATCGGCTAAGAAGGAGGCCTCCATTATTGTTTGCAAACCCAACCCTGGATACTTTAAGTTGAGTAGACTTCAACTCCCAGAATTCCCTTTGTTGGCTGAGGAATTCTGAGAGTCAAACTCCAACCATTTGGAAGTTGACAAGGTCGAAAAACAATAATGTAGGCATTTAAATCGTTGATATGGCCACTTATCTCACAAAAGTGACTCTGAAAGTCTACAAAGTTGTACATCTAAAGTCCTTAATTGTGAAGGCAGACATTTTTGGTTTCACGCTCTGCCCGCAAACTCAAAATCTGTTCTCTATGCCCGCAGACACACACACACACAACCCATCACACAGAATAATGGATGTTTTCTCCCTAAATCCTATAGCTGCTGAGACACAGGATGACACACTAAGCAAATATCTCTACTTTCTGAAGGACAAATATTTTCTGTGGAATAGGACCATAGTTTTATGGATAAATACTGCCACCTAGTGGTGAATTTTAGTACTTCACCCTGGCATTCTGACGAGAGAATTAATCTTGGCTCTTTACAGATTTAGGCTTGATCCTTACGAACTGGAATGCCCAATTTATTTATATTTTTATTTATATCCTGCCTTTATTATTTTTAAAATAAGGCAGCAATGTTGCTCTGCATCTACCCCAGCCCACCAGGAAGGCAGTTTTCACTGTTGTTTTTTCCCTGCTGGGCATCAGAAATAGATTTTTCTGATTTTCTTATTTTTAAATAGTAATATTTTTTTTATTGAACTTTAAAAATACAAAGATAGCAAAATAATACCAACTAACAAAAAAGTAAAAAAAGGAAAAAGGAACAAAGAGGAAAAAAGGGGAAGGGAGAAAAATTTGTAAAAGAAAATATGTATTTCTTGATTTTTCTGACTTTCTCATGCAGCTCATTTAATAAAAAATGCTAATCAGAAAATGTCTGGCTGACTTCATAGATGGTACAAAGGATAAAATACATTTTTTCTGCTTCTTTTACTGTTTTGATATTAGTTTTTTATTGTATTGAAGGGATTTTATTGTGCTTATGATTTTAGTATGTTTTAAGTTTGACATTAGCATTTATTTTATATATAGTAACCATTTTATATTGATACTTATAGTGTTATCATGTAATCATTGTTTTGTTATTTTGTAATCATTATTTTGTAGTTAATTGCTTGATCAGATGCTTTATATATATATATATATATATATATATATATATATATATATATATATATATATATATATATTGGAAAAGTAAGGGCTTCATGCTTTAGGTACAGGAGATTGCTTACATGAAAAGAGCACGGTAAGGGGAGGGGGAAAAGGAGTTACGGATGGAGCCTGGGTTGCTGTGTATGAGTCATCATCTAAGAATTATTTTTTTGTGCCATCTTATGCCTAGTACCAAGACCTGATCTTTTTGTTCTGGAAAGGTATAAAAGGTGGAAGACATCTTTTCTGCTTCCTTGCCTTCATTCCTCTACCAGCCACGAAGAGGAATAGGGTGGCCCCTCTCTGTTTTGATCAAAATAAAGTTGTAATCTTTGTTGAAACCTCGGCTCAGGACTTTCTTTGGCTCTTTTAAATTCCTGAGTAACGCTGGGGCAGTTGTGAGGCTAAGTGGAAAACCTTACAGTATTATTATAGAAGTTTTTAAGATAGGGGTACTATCACTTTGGTGATTTTGATGCTATTATTTCTTTATATAGCTCTTTTCTATTTTTCCTTACTATTATTTTTCTTTTTCTTTGCTTTTTTTTTTCTTTTTCTATTTTTTTTTCTTACTTTGTATTATTTTCTTATCTCCACATTTGTGAACTCTAATGCAAAAGATTTTTGTGAAAAAAGAAAGACAAAACAAGCTTTAATCTGCTGCTTTTATTTTTGTTGCACAGCACTGTCATATGGTGTGCTGTAATCATAAATTTCTCTTGCTCCGGGAGAGGCGCCTC